ATGATAAAATTAACAGGGATTCTGTACATCATAAAGATAATGATAAATTATAGTAAAATAGAAACTTTGTTGTGCTTAGCTATTGATATCTCTACGAGGATAAAATTTATACTTTAAATTTAGTAAATTTTAACTCATCTAAAAACTAATCAATATGGTGTCTGCTTTCTTTAATGCCCATTCTTCCTAATTTGAGCGAGGTTGGCTTATTTTTAAATTTTATTTTTGGACTGGAACGGGCGACAGATCTAATTCTGATTTTCGGTAAATTCTATTTTTCATTAAAATATAATCAATATTTTTTGCAAATTTATTTTATTTTCCTCGTGCTTACAAAAATCTAATTTCCTTTATTTTTGCCACCTATCTCAAAAGTATTATTACTAACATACTTTACCCTTTTTCAAAATTAAACCATAATTTTACCAAGTATTGTGAAAAATCTTTATATTTTCAAAAATCTTTAATATAATAAAGTATCCTGCATTTGTTTTATTAGTTTTCATAAATCAAATCATTTTAATTTTTTTTTCAAAAAATCTTATAGAGGTGTATGTGTCAAACCTGATTATAAAATTTTGCTTATTGGGCTGTTAAAAATAGGGATGGATTTGTCTGACTCTGACATAGAAGAAAATCAGAAGTTTCTTACTGGCGGGGTCTTACGAAAACAAGTCTAATATTGAGCTTTTTAAAAATAAAATGCATGACAGCTTTATTTTTATTAGTATAAGATTTAAAACAGATAATTTTTGATAAAAATTAATTTTTCAAATACTAACGCAAGTATCTTTTGCGTGATCTTTTAATTTTACTAAATAATTTTTCAGATATCACTATGCTAGCTAGTTTTACTAACGTCGTGCTAATACCGCCAGAGTTAGAAATCTAATTCTAGCAACCTGCCTATATTTAATAGTTGCTTCGAAATTTCTTTATTAAATTATAAACTTGAATAGACATAAGCGAAGCCAATTTTTCAGTCAGAAAATAAAAATAGAATTTTATTAGCTTTATTTGTTATTCTAAAGAAAAGAAAGGAAGCTTAATAAAATCAAAATTTAAAAACTGTTTTGATATTTTTATCGGCATTAGCTAATACCCCTGACATTATTACATCTTTGGTAATAAGTTATCATGTTTCAATCAGGGATGTGAACCCTTCGACAAAAAAAAGGGTTCGGGTACAGGAATAAAATTTGATAGGACCCGGGTCCGGGTTCAGGGAACATAAAAATAATGACTCAAAATAAGATTTTTTTTCATTCATTTATTATTATACTTCAATATATACATATTCTAATTTACAAATGAAAAATTTAAAAATGAAATAATTTATATTTTAAATGTTTTATTCTCTCACAATAATAATATCTTCTAAAATACATTCTTGAGATTTCCACGAAAGTAGACAATATATATTTCAAAGATGAAAATTCACGTTCTTCTACCCTTACCTAAAATAGATAGTTATCTTTATAAAATTATTGTACTTGTGTCGCTGTTACAGCCATGATAATTCTGGATATATTGAAGAATTTTCTTCCCTGAATTTTAAAATATTTATATCCTTATTTATTTTCTTAACTTCTGAGAACTTTACTATAAAGATGCTATAGGCATTTTTTGATCCTCCTTTCTATCTGATGATAATTTGATTTTTTTTCTCTATCTAAAAGTAAAATTTTAAGATCATCAATGTTGCTATCATTCACTACAACCAATATGTATCGTCGTAGCCTCCAATATATTGTAAATAATGGAGTTTTGCTTATGCCATAAATCCTTAAGATGGTCTTTAGCCATTTGTTTTTGCTCAAATTGAGGACCAACGTGTTGTGAATTATCATTTAAATTAAAATATTATTTGTACTACAAAATAATTCAATTTCAAAATAATCAACGTATTTTTATAGCATATTAATAAATTTACATAATAAAATTATATTACACTGGAAAATAATTTATGATGTCAATCTCTAAATAAAATGGAAGTCCAGGAAGAAAATTGAAAGAAAAACGCCAAGATAAATAAATGATTCCACAAAAAAAGTTAATAAAATTTAAAAAAATTTATAACACCTAGAACCCTTGGACCCTCCACTCTTAAAAAGGATCCGGATTCAGGTTCAGCCCAAATACGAGAGTTCAGGAGGGTCCGGGTTCGTATTCACATCCCTGGTTACAATAAAGAGCTATCATTTTTAGTTAAAAAAATGTCGCGTTTCAATCAAAGTTGGTAACATTTTCGATCATAGAAGTTTTAAAGATATGCTGGATCTTTTTTTATAGAATAGATTTTGAATTGCCTATTTGATTTCGAAAATTTTCTAATAATCTTATTTAAATCGAATTTGATGACATCTAAAAAGTTGTATGGACCACTTCTAGTTTTTATTAAAAATTAAACTTGCTGATAGTTGATTGCCTGCTTTATACTATCAAGTGTTGCCATTTTAATTTGGGGTTTCCTTTCTATTTAAACCATATTTTATACTATATGGCATATACTCAAATTAAAAAATGCCCCTAAAAAAATTGAAAAATAATATATTAAATAATTGAAGTGAAAAATAACGCCCAATAAGAAAATTTCGCTTAATTTATATCAAATATTGAGGATGCTAGGTTATTAAACGTATAATCATCTAAAAATTGGAAAGGTGATAAAAAGTAGGATAATTGTTAATATTATTGGTCAATCCTTTATACATGTTTCAAATTCAAAGTTATTTTTATAAAATATTATATCATAATAATTTTTATAAGTTAAAATTTAATATTAAATATGATTTATACCAGATATGCATGGTTAAATAGATCAATCCATTTTATTATGGCATACATTGTTTTTTTATATCAAGAACGTCACTAGACTTGTTGAGGCTCAATGCTTAAAATCAAAAAATTATAAACCACTATTTTTTAAAATATTTTGCTTCAATATTTATATTTCTAAAAAATTTTGAAAGGGCTCTCTAAATTTGACATTTGTCGAGTCCTTACTGTTGTAGCTTTACGTAATTTTTATTATATTTCATTATAACGTAGCCATCAATCAACAAATAGTGCATATTTTTGATTGGTCAGAAATAAATAATAATAATGTATTATGTATTATTATGATATTATTATTTTTTATTATTATGGAATTATTGGATTTTTTTTATAATATACTTGAAATTATTATTATTGAATTACTTGGAAAATTATATTAATAAAAGAGATATTCATTCTTGTAGTTAAAATTAGATAGTAAGGAGTTATATATATAGGAGTTAGATACTTACCAGCTCTCTAGTGACGTTATTTCTCATATATATAATATTATAAGGCATTACTTTATTCTATCATAATATTATACTAACATTGAAATGAAAATAAATAATTTTTATGAATTTAATATGTTAATGGCATATAATATATAAATATAATATATGTATTGTGGCTGTGCCGATATTAAATATTGGATCGGGCCGATATTTTTTTTCAAAAACCGATCCAATATTTTGTTTATTGTTTTTGGTTATTTTATTATTGTATATATAATTATATATTTTTTATTTTATAAATAATTTCATAATAATAAATTAATGAAAGGAACTAAAATACAATTTATTTGTTGTAGTGTTTAAAAATGTAGTTTAAAATTTTACACTATATTATATTATCTGCAACAAGAAAAAGATTTAAAATTTCCAACCAGTCGCATTCAGTTAGTGTTGTTGAACGGGTCTAGCCAATTTTTAAATACGGTTAACTCAAGATTTTAGCCAAAAGTAAATTACTCAAGATTATTTGGACTTGTATTGTCGAAATTTCGTTTGGCTAAAATCTTGAATTAGCCCTTTTTAAAAATTTAACAGCACTACACATTCATCCATAAACATTGCAAATATTTTAAATGAGATTATTAACTTTTGGAGTATAAAGAAAACAAAATACACTTAGTTTTATTTAAATAGAAAATATTGATATTTTTATAATATAGTTTCAAAAATAAATATCGGAATTGGATCGGGTTTTTAGTAATATCGGATAGGATCGGTAAATTTGTAGATTGACGCAGCCCCTAATATGTATATTTTTTTTAACTTGTGTTTGTGCCTTATAATATATGTAAGAATGACGTATCATTTATAAAATTATATCTCATAATATTATATATATGTGTTTTTTCAGGTGTTATTTTTCAATTCTATATTATACTTAGAGCCCGTTTTTTAAGTTTTAAAAATTTGGTCTCGCGGAATTATATTTCAACATAACATGTTTCTGAATATTTATAGAACAAAATTTTATTTGTGTATGTACAAATAATGTTCATAGTTATTGTAGTTTACGCAACTTTTCATTCTTCTATCTGTAAACCTTTTCATTCATTCATTGTAATATGACTGAATTAGATGAAGGAATGGAAGGTTTCATTTGAGACCGGCATTTTTTGGATCGAAGTGTTGAGTTTTTACCAATGAGGAAAAATCGATGGGAGGACACTAAATAGAAAAGGATCCATAGCCGCCCAAGTAACTTAAATTAGAATTTAGTGTCGAATATATTAAAGTAGAGAGTAGGGCGAATCATCTATATGAAAAGAAATGCTTTCGATTCTTGTCCTTTCTCATCTTGATTTTTGAAAGAGAGATAAGCCGGGAAACAGTAGAAATATTGGTTATATACGGGAAGCTAAGCAGTGGGATGCTGGTGAAAATAGAGATTTGGTGAAAGAAGAGAGAAGAGTATGGAGAAGGATAATTTGAAAGATGGAGGAAAATTCTGACCATTCATTAACCAATGACAACAGGTTCTAGATAAAGAAGTTTATTATAATATAAATATTAATTAAAATTATAGATAAATTTTTTTATATTTTGAATAATGTATAAATATTAGCAGAAAGGATGGCTCTGGAATACCCCTGCTTCTGTCGTTTACCAATTTTTAATCCCATAATAATATAATCATATATTTAATATTAATTAAATTTCTCTTTCATATAGTGGTCAGGGAACCTCCTTATCAAATCAAGGAGTCTGGTTATGCCGGGTTTATATTACCTCTCGAGGTTTACTTCAAAAACCGAGACGAGCCCAAAAAGATTCGGTTTGAATATGATCTGTTCCTGCATTTACAGGATTGTCCGCCCGTCAATCACGTCAGGTGCGAGAAATTGACCTTCCAAAACCCCACACCAGAGTTTCAGAAAAAGTTGATCAAAGCCGGAGGGGTAAACCTATATGCGAATGGGTGGGGGGGGGTGTATTTTTTTATTGCACAACTTATATAAAGTGAAACAGATAATTTACCACTGCGAATACCGGGGCTTCCAAAATAAAACCCCCTAGTTTTAAGCGAGGCAGGAGGGGTAAATCAATTTAGGAATATTTTTAAAAGAATGGGAAAAAAAGAAATAATTTATGCATAAATAAAATAAAATAAATGGAAACAATAAATTTACAAACGATAGTTTTTTAAAATTTTGATTATAATATGTAAGCCCCCACCTCCAGTCAGACTCTAATGAACTTATATATATTTTATAACAATATTAATAGATTTTACCCCCTTTTTATCATGGTCCATCCCTCCTCAAAAAAAGGTAATGGTGGCTTCCCTCACCACTTCTCCTCAGCACCAGAATAATCCTTCCACTTCTCTCTCCACTAATTCGTCTTTTCAATCCAAAAATTCCAGCAATCATACAGGGGAAAGCTCACAAGTTTTACAGAATTCCTCGCATACTACCATTTTAAATAACTCGACAACCAATTTGACAAATATTAACGCCTATAACAATAATAACCTTGCCTGTACTGTGACCACTATGAACCATGGTTCCTCGCATCCTATCAACAACATCAATAAGGACAGCAAAGATTCTGGTTCTAGTCAAAGTAGTTCATCACATAATTCGACTTTTAAATCTTGTAACAATAATTCCATCGTCAAATTAAACAGTCAAAGCTCGTCTAAATCTCAACACGGCACTCAAAAAGGCCACGATTATTTCAGCGCAAATACATCTAAAATTAGCTTAACTGCTTCCGGAAAGGATTTAAATAATACCGAGGACAATCTAAGCTTTACCAGCTTATTTGGTGACCCCATAAAACCCGGTACCAGTTTAAATCATATTAAAGTAAATTTTGATTTTTAATTTCACATATTTAGATTTTATATAAAAATGCGGGTTTGATTTTTTTTGTCATATAGTGACTTCGAAATATTTGATATTTTATTATTTATCCAAAGACTCTCGCAAAGCGACTATCTTAAAGTGATTGTAGGGTCATTTTATCGATATTTTATATTATATTTTTTTGTATATTACTCTTTTGGAACGAAAATTCCCAGGACTCCACCAAATTCTCATACCCATCAAATAATCTTAATAATTCAAATAGCATCATTAATTCCAGCCTTAAATCTCATAAGAAAAAACATATGGACCTAGACGTGAGCTCTTTTAATAAAGATAAAAAACTAAACTCACAACATGCTAAAGTTAAAAGTGAAGATAGTAATATTAATCAAGCACAGAATTATGCAAATCAATCTTCGAAAGCCAAGAAAGAACACAAAACCAATATTACAAATCATAATATCTCGTCTTCTTCCATGACACAGTCCGCGAGTAATGTGAAAAATAGCGATAACAAATTAGTCAAGTCGATAGGTAAAAACCATCACGATAACAAAAATAAAACGATAAAACATAAAAATGAAAATTCCCCGCTATTTGATAACGATTCCTCAGATGCTTTCGATGAAATGAGTGAGTTTTTTATATTTATTTTTGATCAAGATTTGTTATATACTATACCAAGTTTACTTAAAACCAAGTATTCATGATTCCATTTGTGTTTTATAAATTCGAATAATTATTCGATTCAAATAAGAATATTGAATAGAAAATATTTGCCCAACCATTTCATTATTCACTTTTATTATTCGTAAGTTGTCAACATATGACACGTGGAACTTTTTGTTTATTTAATTTTCACGAGCAATTATTTTTCATTTTTTTTCTTTAGAATTTTTAGAGAATTTAATTATCGATTATTCGTTTTATACGAATACATTTAATTAATGCTGTAAACGTTGTTTCAAAAAAGAAACGCGTTACTCGTTATTCAAAAAAAGTAAGGCTTTACTCGTTACTTAAAAATTACTAAATTTTATATATAAATTTTCGTTTTATATATGTTTTTCTCTATAGATAATAAAAAATAAAATTATAGAAAAATTATAAAATAAGTTCTTTTTGTAGTTATTTATTTATTTTTAAATGATTATCAAAATTTTTATCGGATAAACAAAAGCGCTTATTGCTCAACACAGCTTTCGCTGTGTTAAACACACGTTAAAATTGGGCAGAGGATGGGAGGGTTGTATTATATTTATATTTAATAAATAAAAAATTTATTTATAGGAATTTATCAAAAATCTCCATTCAGATCCTCATCAAAATTTTTTTTTATCTTTATCAGAATTTAATCGGAATTCATATTTTTACCCTTATCTGTTTCTTTAGATTTGAGCTGCTGCACATCGAGGTTGAAATATTTGAATTAGGGCATAATCTTTACTCACATAATATAGTCTTAATTTCCTAATGGTATATAAAATTGTTTTATAGGGGCCAGGGCAGAGTTAAATCATCTTCTTCTGAAGAAATAATTAGTTCATTTAAATTAACATACCTTGATTGATTCAATATTTATTAATTTAACAGTCTTGACTGCATAAACAACAATGAAAATGTAATAAATAAATAAAATGAAGAACTTAGGTGATATATTTTAATTTAAAACCCGGTTAAATTATTTATATATTTAGAAAAATATAATAAAATGTGTTTTTTAAAAAAAATTTTAAGTAACGAGTAACGTTCTCGTTATTTCATGAAACAAGTTACGAACAGTGTTTTTTTCCCTCGAAAAGTAACGACATATTATCATCGACGTTACTTTACACCACTACAATTATTTGAATTAAATTAAATACGAATAATGCAAAATTCATTTTTTATAGGATTAACTTAGCATACATTAATTATATAAATAAAAGAGGGTATTATGCTAAATCTTAATATTAATAATATTCTGTAGTTTAATCAATATTTTTTATTGATATGCAAATATTTTCTATTGATTAGAATCCCACAAATCTAAAAAACGTCACATAAGTAAAATTACAAATAACAATTTGGAAAATAACGGACGTCAAATCAAGAAGCACTATAACTCAGCAACTACTGAGATTATAATCAAACCAAGCCCTAATATAGGTGAGTTATTTATGAATATTTATAAAATAAAATAAAGAAGCGAAAATACCAGAGATGCACCATTACCACTTTTCTGCCGATATTTATGATAGTACGGCTTAGAGATCGCTAAAGCCCACGCTAAAAATATTTTGGTACGGTCTGGGCAACTTGTGTAAAATATTTTTAGGGCTGGACTGACCTGAATTGTCTTGAATAATGCAAATTTATGTTTATGGCTTTTTTTTAACAAAAAAATTGGTTCATGTCAATTTGTGTTAAATATTCTTGATCACGCCGAACCATTTTTCTCAGATAAGGCTGTGCTGATCTCTATTCTCGATACCAATATGATATCGATTGATACCACCAATGTCAAAAAATCATAGTGTTTATTGAAAAGGAATTAAGATTCGTTTAGAGGTCTGCATATCCCGGCCTGGTTAGATAAAATAATTTCGGTCCAGGCTAGGTCAAGCTTAATATTTTTTAAAAAATTTGTGAGGCTGGGTTGGGCTTTAATTTTTAAATATGAAATCATTCAATTTTGTGAAATAATTGATATATTTTAAAATTGCAAGAAACAATATGCAAGTATTTTCTATTTGTAGAATATTTTTTCTATTTAAAAAATATTAAATATTTCTATATTTAAATTTGGGTCGGGCTTTTCGGGACAAATAAAAAAATTTGATTCAGCATCGGGCCGGATAAATTTTTAAGAGAAAATATTCGGCCAGGCTTTAAAAATTAGACGGGATGCAGATCATTAGATTAAGCCAATATTATTTATAATTTGAAATTTACAAAAGCAAAATGAATTATGAGGAAATGGGAAAAACCTTCTTCATGTAGGCATAATCTATGCATGTTAATTGTCATTTTTGGGCATTGGTCACTTGTATCGGCTAAAATTGAATGTGTCGACGATACCGATACTTACATCGTGAATATCGGCGTATCTTTCGGAAATACCAAAGAATAAATAGAATATATTTGGTTCACATAATCTCATAAATTCTTTTAATGATAGAAATTGGATAACACAGAAAACAAAGATTAAATTGAAAATGTTGTATATATAAATATAGCAATTTTACAAACAATCCTAATCTTACCAATTTTTTAAAATGTTATGATAAAAGCACTGAACATTTTTTATCAACTTATATTGTATTTAATATATTACTCTTTTAAAAGACCAACTTCCGAGCACAAAAATTTCTTCGTCCACTCTCAATTCAACATTTATTACAACTGCCGACGGTAATAATATCAACCTCAAGGAAACAGACGAATTCGATTCCGATATTTCTTCACCCATCAGTCACTCAGAAGATATTGCAAATATTATAAATTTAAATAATGAATCAAATCCGAGAAACGATTCCAATATTTTTAACCAAATCGATGATATTGATCAAAATCCATCAAATCTATTGGGTCCAATCAATAATCAAAATAATCTAAAACATGAATCTGGTTATATGGACAATGAAGATACTCAAGACGACGGGGAGTTTTACAATGGTACCAGGGACAATGAATTAGGTTTTTATTTATTAACATTTTATTTAGATAAACTAATATGGCAGCTCAAACTAGCTTGTCAGAAGATTGTTGATTGACGATATAGTAGGAATATGTGCGTTGAGATTTACACATAGTACACACTTGTGTAACTTGAATAGAGAGAACAGTAACAATTTAAAAGTCAAAAGATTGAATCAAGAATAATACATATTTAGTAGATATTTAATTTTTGAAATTTTTATTAAAACAGCAATATATTATATTCCTGTACCTAGACTCGTGGCCAGGAATTTGCTTTGGAAGGGAGCAATTTTTTACCATATATAAAAAACTAGAATTCATATTGGAATCTTTGTTGAACATCTGAAATTCTATAAAATTTATTAGGACTAGGGCATAAAAATTTCTAATGTAAATAATCTGTAAAATTATCAAATATAATTTATAAATTTGATCCACAAAATGCTGCTATAAAATATTAATTGAATATAACCTGCACAAATATATTCTTAAGGTATATTGCATTGGTATTTGTGGAGAAATAAGTGCAATCTCCTTTTTAATTGATAATTTTTCAATTATTTTATATTTTGTGTCAAATTTCTGTATATATTTAAAAGGGATAACTCATTTTATCTATCTGAGGGATAACTCATTTTATCTATCTGAGGTAGCGTATAATCCCTGGAAAGTAAAAATTTTGTTCATTTGTGCAAGTACTAATGAGTATAATGATCAAAAGTTATAATTGTTTTAATATGTTACAAAAATACACTTAGATTTGTAAGACCGTTTGATGAAACGATAAGCTTTCATTTATCTGACTTAATATAATATCTTTTACTGATCTCATATTAATATTTGAACTATAGGCGTGTCTTGGTGTGAGTCGAAATATCAATATAGAATTTACAAAACTCGGGTTTTAAACCAACAATTCATAATTTATGATTAACATTTGCTCTAATTTCTTTAAGTTCTAATATAATACTTTTGCGATTTTCAAGGTGAATGACCATTGATAGATATGCATAAAATGCTAGTATACTTAAATAATTTATGGGCACACTAATGTAAAATTATTTCGATAGGGAACCTCTGGGGGATATCTTTTTATTATTCTGCAATTTCACTCAGGGGTTATTCCATGTCAAATCGATCAAAAAGACATATTTTTGGCCGATATCTTTTATTATTAAAAAATTTTGGACAGATAAAAATAGCTTAGAACATCTGGTTCCCGAGATACGGGGTCTCAAAGGAGCAAAGAATAGTGACTTTCAAATCTGTAATTTTTAAAATGGTTATATCCTAAAAACTATTTATAGTAAAATTAAATATATTATATCCATTGTAGGTAAAAAAGAATCTAATGGTCAATCAAAAGAAAAATAATTGGCATTAATTTGAGTCTTTAACCTCCAGCTTACCTATATTACTTCCGTGTTTTTATTTTCGAGAATTTTTTTGCCCTCCATTTAGACACTTTTTATAAGTATATATACGATGTGAAGATCTTGGCGGCATCGGCTCTTTCGACATATGAATTTTTACCAAAAATTGACATTTTATTTCCATAAAATAGATAGCGCTATACAAAATCTTCATTATGGTTAAAATTTTGTTGCTAACATACCAACAACAGGATATTTTCACTTTATACTAAAATTTCCATGTCAAATCTATCGAAAAAGTTCCATTTTCGGCCAACCCCTTTTAAAATTATTGATAACTGCAGGAATTATTTAGATAGGTATAAGCCGTTTATTTTAGTTTCAGGTTCCTAAAATACAAATCAAAGATGCGAGACAATGAAAATTTTCGCACCTGTAGAATTTTTAAATTGCCTATATGTTCAATAACTTTGAATTCTATTAAAATAAGGAGAATATATTGTTCTGGTAGATTTTTCATTGGAATGAATCGCAAGTTATTATTCATCCTTGTGTATTTCAAAACACGTAATAATTTAAATCATTTAAGTTGTGTAATAATATCGGAATATCTCATTCATATGCCGTTCATTTATTCCAAAATATTTAGTCAGCTGAAATTTCAGAGCCGCCCAAGAAAATTCTTCTACTTTCAGATGAAACAGCATCCCAATATAAGAATACATAAATGTAATCAATCTTTGTCACTAAGAAGATAATTTTGGAATTAACGTTGAGTGGCATTTTTGGGTTACATCTCATGGCAAATTGGCTTGTAGCAGAGTCGGAGGTATAGTCAAGCATTTAATGGCCTGGGCTAGTTTACAAAGACCTATTCAAAACAAATAACTTATCCTAATGCCTATTTAAAGGAAAATATTAAAGGTAAAGATGTCTAATTTATTAATATATACATTATAAATATTAAGGAGTAGATTTCTTTTATATTATAGAAGACGAATATGAGAAAGAGCAAATTTTAGAATAGAAATTCAATAAAGCGCGTACAATACCAGAAATGCAAAAATTTCATACTTTTTACCCAATTCTTTAGGATAAAATTTAAGCCTATTTTATTCAAATTCAACAGAATCACAAATTTTAAATATAACATTTCACTCGAATATTAATGAGATTCAATATATAAAAAAATAAATGGATTTAACATCTATCCACGACAATCAATGGTAGATGGCATGTTTTAGGAAAAAAAATCGAAAAAGAGGTGTTAGTTCTTGCAACCTCAAGCACCTAAAATTCTTATACATATCTATAGATAGATTAACAAATTGTATGTCCATAGATTAACAAATTGTGTATTTTCTAAATCACCATGTTTAATTAGTTTTAGTGTAAATTTATATTAATTTAAAACATATTTACAAAATTTTAGAAAATTTAAATGGGTCGCTTATATTAAAGAATTCACCTCTACCTTTTCCTTTGAAAACACTGGAGATTACAACTTTTACTGATGTTAAATAATTGGTTTAAAATTAAAAACTAAATTAGTTCGAATATTTTATTTAATATTAATACAGTAAAAATTTAAAAAGCCGATTTTTGTACCTTTAATCCCCATTATCGCAGGCATTATAATTGCTAATGAGCTAAAATTTTGTTTCAGATATTACTAGAACATATAAAACGCGTCTACAAATTTTTATCTAAATTGAAAGGGGTCGCCCGAAATCTCGATTTTTTTGCTCATTTGACAAGTACTAATTCAAAGTTAGTTTTAAAATATTAATTGCATTATTTCTCACTATTTCCTTAATAGCTATAATTCTATTTAATTAGAAGGATGCTAAAAATCGATTTCGTTTGGAATGAATGACCTGAATATATTTTAATTTATGAAATGAACACGATTTTCTTTTGGGTTATAAATTTTTTTATAACTTCATACTTTATAGGCTAAACATTTTGGCTATTGTTTATTGAACTTCTGCAAATTATTATTCATAAATCATTTCTATTTAGATGATCCCACAGATGGACCGATATCAGACAATCATGCGGAAGAAGAAAGTACACCTTATAGTTCAGAATTTGTGGTGGAAATGTTGAATCTTCAGAAAGATTTAATGGCTCTAAGGGATAAACATTTAGTACAAAGGGTAGTCGATATAATAGTCGAAACTAGGAAATTTACCATATCACCATCTACCTTCGATTTTGACCTGTGCAGACTTGATGCTCCAACCCTAGATCGTATCAAAAACATATTATCCCTGCCTTCTTCATCCCTTTAAAAATATTTAATAAGTCATTATATAAATAAAGATAACATTTTTTACCATTACCTCTTTTTACCCTAATCTGTCATCTTAAAAGACCAGGGATATTTCGCCTCATCAGTCTTATTTACTTTACTTTACTTTGATAATATATATATATATCATTTTAGTTTTTATAAATGTCGTTTTTAGTAATGTTGTTAAAAGTAAGAGAAAAGACAGTTTTAAATTTAAATCGATTTTTTTTACATTCAATATGATTGTAAATCCATTTGATGAATATAATCATTAGATTTAATATTTCTATGGTTATTTTAATGTTATTTTTAAAGATTATATGCACACAATTTAAAATAATGATCCAGAATTTTCATTCATTCAATAACTATTTATTTTTTGCAAAATATTCTTAATATTGAAATATAACTAATAGAAAGGTTATACAAGTTTAATTATGTGTAACAGTATATTTAAAAATATCTTAAATCATATTTATATTTATATAAGATCATCACGGGGATATTTTTTATACAAATATATAATTAAAAAAATTATATCTATTTACATGATTGAAAATAAATATTTATTAAAATTATTTATCACATAATATACTCTATATTACTCTTATATTATGCTTATAATTTTTCATAAAAAATCATATATGCTGGAACTTTGACATAATTTTTGTTATTGAAAATCATGGGCAGTGGTCTGACATAATCATCTGATATATAAAACCAAATATTTTTGTTGGCCCCATCAAAATTATCTTTATAATAAGGCCTTGTTCGTAAAGTTGTAAAATGACCAGATGTTATATTAATTGTGTGATGTTGAATAATAGCCTTTAATTTGTAATTAGTATTCAAGTCAAAATTTTGGTTATAAGTTTGCTGCAAATCAGTTTTATCACACTGAAGATTGAGGTCCATGGAATAAACATTACCAAAGATATATCTATTATTACCCATAATAAAAGTATTAAAATGACAATTTTGTAAAAATGATAAAAATATATTAGGCTTGCATGGTATGTTTTTTTTGCCAAACTTAAGAGGCCACGAAAAATTTAAGTAGAGAAATGAAAAATAATTATAAGAATTTATTTCTTTGAGTTGTATTTTATATTTATTGCATTTTTTTGATATTTTGTCCAAATGTTTGTTTAAACAATATTTGTCTAAATTAATAGTTGATGGTACATTTAAATTCCCTTCATTTTTATTTATGAGTCCATTGATATTATTTGAATAGGATAATCTTTGTATATGAAGAGACAGACATTTAGGTAATCTAACTAAAAAGACTTGCTTGGTTAAATTTGAAAATGAGTTTTTATTTTTATAACACTTTTCGCATTTAACTCCTTTAATAATTTCAGGCTTTAAAGTGCTATATATAAATGTATCCAAATGAGAAATTTCACTATTGTCAGATTTATGAGAAGAATTATCAATTGATATTGTCAAGTGATTAAAAGTTTCAAATTTTAATGGATAATTATAATTACAATCATTACAGGTTAATAAATTAACTAATATACCTAAAAATGGGGATTTTGAATTAGTGGATATATTATTATTATGTTTGGATAAATTTCCTAAATCAGTACTTATGTTATATAAATTCAAGCCATAATTGCTTGTGGCCATGGGGATTTCGTCATCAAATATATCTAATAGAACATGGTAAAATTCTAAGGCATCTTGCTCACCTTTTTGAATAATCCAGCCTTTTTTATTAATATAACAAAGTAGTTGATTAACAAGATCTGTGAGATGGTGCTCTGAGAATACATTATCACCATTTATTTTTGCTATAAGAATGCGCATAATTGTATGTATATTTGATTTATTTAACATATATTTATAAGACAATTGGCATATGTAATCGTTAAAATTATAGAGAGATGCTAATGCTTGTAATATCGAATTTATATAACAGGTATTTTGAATATTCGGAATTCCTATTATTGTAGGATGATTTTTTAATTTTACCTTCATTTTAATTGTATTGGTGTTTACTACACGAGAATTAACGATAGTCATCCCATCTCATACTCAATAACACAATTACAAGAGTAGATTTGTTAAAAAAAATATTTGATTCAACCGCTGCTCTTGACATGTAGTCGAAAATATACTAAACGAAAACATAATACTGCAAAAGACTACTCAACCATGTTAAATAAAATTTGAAATATTATGCCTAGATTTCTGCTAAGGAATTAGATTAGTGTTTTTTTCCAAAAAAAGTCACATCTTAATTCATTCAATGAATATAAGAAAGCTTTGTTTTTCATTAAATAGAAGACTACTGAAAAAATATGTTCAGATGTTTTTTTATTGTAACAATCTAAAAAACCTCTTAGGTTTTGTCATGTTTCCATAATTTGTATTTATTACTTAAATGTAATAGATTGTTAATTATTCTATATTTATAAAAAAGAATGAAATATTCTAATAAATGTGATGGGATAATTTTAAAATATAATAAAACGATATAATTTAATTCATGGAGTTTTTTAAATAGCTAGTTATTAGTCGTAATATTAAAGTGGCCATTCCTTAAATGGAGATTCAGAATATTTGGCAGATAAAGGTAAATTGGCGGACTTATCTACTATTAAATTTGATAATATCAATAAAGAAAGTACGATATATCGTTATTTTTCTCAAGAAGCCAGTTTTCGGTTAAAAAACGTAAATCCTACTGAATGTCAATAAAAAGATATATTTTTGGCAATAAGAATATTGAGTTGGTAGACCGTTCTTGTTATCATAATTCGCTTGAAACTTAATCTTTTAAGGAAATTAAGTCTAAACCAATGTCAACAACTTTTTCTTCTAGTGATTTCGTTCGACTACGGAGAACAAATGAAACCACAACTAAATTTACATATAAAATAGAACAATTGGCAAGTGTTGTCAACATCTTAATGATATTGACGAGAGTTGTCGTGATCAGTTTATGTTTGGCATGGAAATGCCTGGATTAGAATGAGATCTTAGGGCTCTATATCCCAACTGCATTGATAGAGATAATATATATACTTTTCAATTTATTCTTGATCTGTCAATCACTTCTGAACGAGCAGACAAAGAAATGGCAAATAAAATATGCCGAACGATAACAATAATTATAAACATCCATTTAAAACGAATACATTTGATAAAAGCTATAATAAAGCCAAGTATAATAAAACATTTCATAAAGGGAATAATAAAGGCAAATATAATAATACCTTTGATAAAGATTATATAAAACTCAAATTAGTTTGTTGTAATCAAAGAATTTAAATTATATAAGAGTGTCATGGAGTGATTCTATTCATAATATTTGGAAGATTTAACAGAATCGAGCAAAACTATCTGCAGAGATAAATGGGATAGATGTTGAAATTGATTTTTGACACTGATGCACAGGCAGGCGTTATTGATCGGAATAGATAGACCAAGTATTGGACGACCAAAAATTAGGCCAACATGTCCATTGACTGCATATGATGATCATCCGTTAGACGTTAGGGGCGAGACCCAAGTCAACGTTAGGGTTGGATTACGGATAAGAATTCTACCTGTGGTAATAATGAACACAACTGGGGTGCTTTTTTCTGATTACCATGGATAATAGCATTCAATTTAGGAATGCCTCGCCAAGTCATTATTAAACAAGTGCAGAATTCAGTCAACGCTATTGACAAAGAAAAATGCTGCATAGTAGTAGATTCTACAATTCTAGATTTGAATAATATACACCAAGCAATTTTTGATGAAAAGATGGGACATATAGGTGATTTTGAGGTGTGAATACATTTAAAGGATACCGCTGTACCAAGATCGTTTTCAGCCCGTGACGTACCCTTTCACTTTGCAAAGCAATTGGAATAGAATTAGACCCATCATTGGCTCCGGGAATTATCGAAAAGATTGATTTGACTACTAGGGTGTGGTCAATGCCAACCGTAAATGTATGCAGGTTTAATGGCGAAATTCGATTTTACGCGGATTTCAAATTTCCCTTTAGTGTTTATTGTATGACCCAGTGTCTACATGGCCGGGGGGGGTAGGAGACAAATGCCTCCAAAAAATATTGGCATTTTGGGGGGTAGGTATTAATTTTGGGGGGTAGATATTGATTTTTGGGGGGTAGGCATTTGTTTTTGGGGGGTAGGTATTGATTTTTGGAGGGTAATTTTTGACTTGTATTATGATATTTTTAAATCCAATAATCGATATGATTATCGTTGATTTTCTGAAAAATGTCAATTAAAGAAAAGATATCTGTCAATTTATAAATATTATACACTATATTTATTTTTTTAAATTTTTAGAAAATTCATTTACATAATGGGATTTAGATTTTCACAGTATCAATTTTAAATTATCAATATATATTTTTTTATAATAAGGACCTTTTGAATAAAGAATCCCTTTTATGATAAGATAATCCTACTCAATTAACAATATAAAGAAACATTTTTGGATTTTAAAAAGGTAATTTTTTAAGCATATAATTGCATTTTCCTTAATTTGATGATAGATAAATAAATATAATAAAGAATGAAGCTATTTTTATTTAATCTTAATATGTATACTTAATAAGTTATCTGGGTTTTGAACCATGGCAATTATTTTTGCTAATAATTTTTTAAATAATCATTTTCAATGGGGTAAATATTACCACATTTTTGTGAGGCAATCAGGTTGGACCCATAATTGATTTCTATTTATGATAAATGATTCTTTGAGGTAAGTGTAAATTATATACAAAATTATAAGTGAGAGGTGAAAACCATTGTGTGATAAAAAATTTGTTAAAAGAATTGATAAATTTTTTATTTCATTATTAGATAAATTTTATATAACATCAAATTTTCCATAATATATTTGGCCTTTTTTCTAAATATTTATAGAAATCTTGGGAGAATGAACAGATAATCTATTCCTCTCATTTGATTATTGATTTAAGAAAAGATTTCAATTAAATGAATTGACAAAGTGATTCCATATACTGAAATATTGTTTATTTTTGTTAACAATAAATTAAATTTTTGGATATGGCTTGGGAATAATCTTTGAAACCTATGATGTGGTTTGGGTTTGGATTTCCATTAAACATGAACTGGGCCTGAAAATTATTTTTACTTATGACCTAGGCTGGATGAAGAAATCAATGCCAGTGAAGGTCTCTAATTTCAATGATTAAAATATATCATTTCTCAGACTTTATTTGAAGATAAATGAATGGGCAAATCACAAATATGCCTGTTTTCAATTATTTGCAAAATTTATTAGGATTGTTAATTTAAAGAAACTATGATTTCAAAGCATCATACATTTCTAAAAATTGTTGGACACTAAGAAATAAAGAAATCAATTGTGAAGTGTATAATGGAGGAAATATTGATCCATGATTGTTTTGGCATAAATAACAAAAAATATTATATTTTTTGTGACCATGCATTAAGCTTACATATAATATAATAGGAATCTTTTAAGAAAACATTATCAAAAATATAAGTTAATAGCTGATAGTCCATTATGAATGACTGGTAATCAGAATTTTCTTCTTTATTCAATGATGGGTGCATAATAAATTTCCTTTATATGATGATGATTGAATCAGTAAATTTTTCATTATTTTTATAAAATATGTTAATAGAGTGTATATTTATGAATTTTAATTTAAAAACAATAAGGGTCTAGAATATATTTTTTTGATTATAAATTACAAATACAAATGAATAAGAATTTATTTTAAAAGATTTTAATATATTTTTTAGATTAAAAATATAATACAAATGAATAAAAATTTATTGTGCACATATATTAAAATATCTAAATATATATTTCTTTAATATATTTTGTAAAACCACTGGAAAATTTTAAAATTACACCCTCATTTAAACAAATATAAATTTAATTTCTGAATCACACCTCATAAGATAGGAGAATTTTAAGATTCAGCCATCCACCGTCAAATAAAGGATAAAATTATGATTCTCCATCATTCTTGATGGCCATCAGTGAGTAAAAAAATATTATCTAAATATTTATTTCATTTTTATTCTAGATGCCAAGTAACAAAACAATATATAAAGTCAAATGTGACTATATTAATTGTAAAACTTCTAAAATAAGAAGTGACAAAATAAATAACCATTATAAACATAAACATCCTCATGTCAAGTTATCTGATATCAAATTTACAAAGATAGCTATCAAAAAGGATAATAATTGGGTATCCTTAAATAAAGATATTCCATTCAATATCACAAATGGGGTTGAAACCAAGTTACAAAAAAAATCAATAACATCTTACTTCCAAAAAGTAATTTTTTATATATATTATTTTAATTCATGACAATAAATATAAGTAAAAATAACCTTAAATTTTGTGAATTAGTAGAAACCAATTCTTCATCTATAATTTGAGCATAATACTTTTAATTTTTATTAAAGATAAGATTTTTAATATATAGGTACATTTTTATTATGCCCTTTATCAATTTTGAAGGAAATAAATTATAAGAATATTTAAATATTTCAACTTTTGTTAAAAAAAAATTTATATATTATAATTAAGAATAAAATAAGTCATTTGCCTAAAATTTTCACTACTCTTTATTTAATAATTAGCACAAATCTTTTATTGAAGATTCCCAAATTATATTATCTCATACAATGCCCAGTTCCAGTGATCTGCTGATTTTGAATAATGAGGTACTTAATTTAAATAAGATTTGTTTTATAATTTTGAAGGGAATAAATGAGGATATTCAGATATTTTCATGAACAAATTTTAATTAATCTTTATTTAATAATTAGCTCAAATCTTTTACTGAAGATTCCCAAATTATATTATCTCATACAATGCCCAGTTCCAGTGATCTGGTGATTTTGAATGATGAGGTACTTAATTTAAATAAGATTTGTTTGATAATTCTGAAGTGAATAAATTATGAAATATTTTCCACTTTTCTATATCTTAATTAAGAATAAAATTTTTATTAAAATTAAGATTTTCATAAGTAAACAAATTTTAACCACTCTTTATTTAATAATTAGCATGAATCTTTTATTGAAGATTCCCAAATTATATTATCTTCTCATACAATGCCCA